TAACAAAATTTTCATCATTAGAAAAGATGCGTAAATAAATATAATAATACATTTCAATATGAAAAGAAAAATAAGAATATTGAAATTCTTTGAAAATTTAAAATAATTGACTGAACTATATTGTAATTTGAGTAAGATAATAATTTTATTGATGAAAATAAAAAAGCAATATCAATTATTGTTTAATAATATACTGAGTATTTTTAGACATTGATATGGAGTCTTGAAATAAGAAAATTGTCAGTAAATAATGGATAGTTTACAAGAGAGATCTCCTAAGATATTATAACAGTATTAAATGGAAAGTAAGGATAAAAAGTCTGATTTATTCAATTAAATTACTCAAATGAGATAAAATTAATAATAGCATACAAGTAAGTAATCTGATTAAATAAAATTTAAAATTTAGGGTAATTAAAAGGAAATATTACATACTTGGTGTTCGAATCTCTCTATTATATGTTAGAGAACAATGAAATCTCAGAAATTAATAAATGGATCAATTAAAATGATTAAGATTAAAAGCTGTTTAAAGAGAACTTTATTAAATTAATCAAGAAAAATTAGAAAAAGAATAATAATATATTAATTATTAAAAACAATAGATATTATATTTAATAAGTTATAATAATCAATTATAAACTATTATTTATACTTAAATATAAATAGATACATCATATATTTCATAATATTAAGATTTGATATTGAAATCAAATATACAAGACAAGTAATGTTAATAAACAGAAAGATATTTTATGCAATACAGTGATAATGTATCATCATAGGAATTATTGGAATCCTGAAGATTTGTTAGTTTTGTAATGATAGGAGATATTGTGCCATTTGATGAAATTACAGTTGCACTTTATAAGAGTATTTTAAGAAATGCTCTACTCAAAAACAGAATTAAATAAAATAAATACTTAAGAGTTTTAGAATGATGAATTTAAATAATTCATCTAAAGTAAAAATTGCAATCCTTAAAATTCTTTTTAAAAATAAGGATAATTGGCCTATATCTTATATAGATTCAAACAAGACTTTTAGGATTATAAAATTATAAAATATATAACTTAATATAAATAAGGAAATTCAAATTAATTAGAATTATAAAGGAAAGCTATCGTAAAATTGTTATAAAATAAATATCTATAGTATAAAGTTTTTGAAGATTATTTTGAATATTTTAGTGGCTCCAAAGGTGTAAAGTCGAATCTAAATGGCATAATGACCTATTTACGGTAAATTTTATAATGAAGTTTACTTTCCTTTATTCTAAAAAATTGTAACTTTATTTTGATTTTAATTTTAATTTAAATTTAAGATTCAATTCATAAATCCCAAAACTTGGAGCCTGATTATTACTTTTAATATTTTAATAATTAATTTATTTTTTTATGATTAATCAAACAAGAATAACAAATTTCCTAAGTAGGTTAATATTTTTATTAAATACTCCAAATACATATCCAAATAACAATGTAATGTTATACACATCTAATTAGCACTTTAATTGATTATTAAAGCTCCTAAATTCTTATCTAATAACATCATTTTATTTGAACACATTAAATGATTAACCAAAAAAAAAAATAATTTACAATTTTAATTAAACATTTTTATACAAAAATATTGAAATTTATTTTTGTTGTAATATTAGCACAACTGGATATTTATGAATAATATTATTTGAAATTTCAAGTATTATAACTAATCTTAATAACTAATAGGATTGATAATATATTGGAACTTTTGAAAAATAGGTCAATATAAAGTGTACTCTAAAAAATAAAAATATATTTTACTATCAACATTTGAAAAAATTTTGAAAAAAAACAAATTAATTTAATAACACATTATTTTTAATTATTTGCAATATAACCATAAATTGATACAATATATTAGTGTTATCAATTTTTCAAAAAATAGTTTATCTAATAATATTTTATGTAAATGATTTTTGAGAGGATGTATAAAAAATAAATTTATTGTTATTGATTTCAATATCTAATATAAAATCATAAATCATTTTTTATACAATAATAATGGAAACTTTTTAATTCTGGAATTATGATTCTTTAAAAGCGTAGAGCTTTATTAAACTGTTGAAGATGAGTTA